GCTCCTCAATAAGGAGGAAGTGAGTGGGCCCACGCAAACCACCACTCTTAACCCGCGGTATATTGCACTTCCACCCCACAATAACACTTTTGTATGATTTCACTGCTTGTGCTGTGAAACAAGTCATTCATCCAAGTTACACTCGTGGGGTGCCTCCCAACAAAAACAAGCAACATGCCTTTCCCCCAAGGCCACATTTCCTTGCGCTTGATTATTAATTCAAAATGCCTGACATTCTTAAGCAGAATCCAGTTTTGTTGACTTTCGCCGTGGGTTTGGAGAGTCAAATTTCATCCTTCCGTGGGCCGTTGGCAGGCATAGCTTTGTGTATGCTCCACATATGCTAAAATTGGAATGATGCTGAGAAGTCTATAATGTGACACGCACACCCCCAGCATTTCTTGTGAGCCAGTTTGGTGCCATGCATAGAAGGCCTGTTGTAGGTCTGAGGAACAGAGGCTCAAATTTGGAGCCGCTAAGACAGGGGTTGTCAAACTGGTTCCTGCCGCCCACTAGTGGGCGAGTCAGGATTCTAGGTGGGCCGTAGGGGGTTCTACGGCACAAGATGAATCCTCCTTCCATTGAGCGCTGGTGGGCAGTAAGGAAATTTTAGCATCCAGAAAGATGTATTTGTGGGTGGTTGGTATAAAAAGGTAGATTAAAGAGTAAAGGGGACCCCTGACCATTAGGTCCAGTCGTGACCGACTCTGGGGTTGCGGCGCTCATCTCGCTTTACTGGCCGAGGGAGCCGGCGTACCAGCAAGTGACCAGCATGACTAAACCGCTTCTGGCGAACCAGAGCAGCGCACGGAAACGCTGTTTACCTTCCTGCCAGAGCAGTACCTATTTATCTACTTGCACTTTGATGTGCTTTCGAACTGCTAGGTTGGCAGGAGCAGGGACTGAGCAACGGGAGCTCACCCCATTGCGGGGATTCGAACCGCTGACCTTCTGATTGGCAAGTCCTAGGCTCTGTGGTTTAACCCACAGCGCCACCTGCATCCCTAAAATGGTACCCCTGCCCTAAGAGGATCTCTGGCTCTTTCTTTTTTCCCAACCTAACCTAGCTAGTAGAGTGGTTAGGGGGCTGAGCCATCAGCCAGAGTGCTAGAAGAGGAAAGGGATCAAGATGTGATACATGAATGAGCGCAGGTGGCGCTGTGGTTTAAACCACCGAGCCACTTGGGCTTGTGGATCAGAAGGTCGGTGGTTCGAATCCCCGCAATGGGGTGAGCTCCCATTGCTCTGCCCCAGCTCCTGCCAACCCAGCAGTTCGAAAGCACGCCAGTGCAAGTAGATAGGTACCACTGCGGCAGGAAGGTAAACGGAATTTCTGGGCTCTTTGGTTTCCATCAGTGTTCTGTTGCGCCAGAAGCAGTTCAGTCATGCTGACCACATGACCCGGAAAGCTGTCTGTGGACAAACGCCGACTCTCTGGGCCTGAAAGCGAGATGAGCGCCACAACCCCATAGTCGCCTTTGACTGGACTTAACCATCCAGGGGTCCTTTACCTATTTTTTTACATGAATGAGATACCTATCACTTACCCAAACAAGCAATATATCTACCAGTCCAAGAAGCGACTTATATGCTACCCCTGCTTTGCAATTTCCCCAAGGAACACGCAGGAAAGTGTCTTCAAAACAAAAGCAAACAAAGGCTTTAACACCACAGTAGAAATCTGCGGGTAGGGGAACTTAATGGGTCTCCCAATATAGGGAATTTCAGAACCTGGTTTCAGCCACTGAGTTGGTCCTGTTCTGCGTACCCAGCTTCCTAATCTCTGAAGACCTCTAAGGGAAGAGCTCAGGCTGGTGCCTTTAAAAATAGTGATTACTTGAGAGGCAGAGTGGCCTAGTGAGTGAAGACTTGGACATAGACTGGGAAGATGCAGGTTCAAATCTCTGCTCATCCACAAAGCTTAGACTCAGGCCCGTTCACTGTCCCTCGGTCTGCCCAAGAGCAAGTTGCATAGATTCTATGAGATTTTCATAGGCTTGGCATTGTTAGGTGGGGCATCTCCCCAGGGCGCCTAGGGCCAGCTGGAAGAATGGTGGGAATAAAATTTTAATTCAAAATAAGCCAGCCTGGTGGAAGAATAATGTTTTGATTTCAGCAAAGCTGTTAAGCCTCTGTCTGTGTGTTACCTGAAGGGAAAAAAATCCAGGCATTTTGTTGAAACTCATTGTGCAAATCTCCAAACAGAGAGGTGCAGGAGCTGATTCAAATTGGTGGCGGCCGCTTAGTGAGACAAATCTATAAGGGCTGATGACAGAGCAAAGCAGCCTTCCAAGAAAGCCTGCTTAAAACCCACTGAAATGAATGGGACTGGTGTGGAAGCATTTTCTGCTGAATTGCATTAACGGCTAGGGTATGCAAGGCAGAAGAAGAATGGTACAGGGGCTCTGCGGCGATGCATTGCCAGATATTTTACATAACACTGTTGTCCTCTGGCAATGCACATCTGCCTTCTCAGCTTTGTGTTGATAGGAGAATAATAACAGTTGTTTTAGAGGCCCTGGTTCACACGTAGCGGTTGTTCCGAACAAATCAACATTCTGCGGCCATTTCCATGAGCTCTCTTACACATAAAGTCATTGAAAAGACTTTCAATGACTTTCTTTCCCTTGTTCCCAGTGCATGACTGTGTGTAATAACACTCCCAGATTTCAGTCCAAGCGTGAAAGCCAAAAAGTGGCTGCTTCTTCTTGGGAAAATGGATTTGCTGCAGTTTTCACAGTCTCAGCTAGAAGCAGGCTGTTGGGGGCCGGGGGCAGGCGGTAGCAGTGTGTGTGTGTGTGTGTGTGTGTGTGTGTGTATGTGTGTCAAGATGGGACAAGAAATAATGGACTTAAGTGGGCAGGCAAGGGTAGCCCCTGCTGTTTCTCAGGCATATCTATAGGGAACATACGAAGCTGTCTTACCCTGAGTCAGACCATTGTTCCTTTTAGCTCTTGTCTACACTGACTGACAGCGAGTGGTTTTCTAGGGCTTCGGCCAGAGCATGTTCCCATTCCCAGGATCCCTGTGGGAAGGTAGACACTGGGGAAAGGAATCCTTCCATGCATGAGAACAATTGGCAAGTGGAACAAACCTGTCCAGGGAGGCTGTGGAAACCTCGTAATTTGAAGCATTTGAGGAAAAGTTGGAGCAGCACTTGATGACTGGGGTCATTTTGGCTGCAATGAATTAGCAGAACTGTATGTGCTTCATAACATGCAACACAAAGCCACAGATTTCAACCTCGTGGTGATCTCTGAGATAATGTGTTTTTAAAAGGAAGCAGAAGTAGGCCTGATGAAATCTCTATAAAGGCAGCTGTTTGGGTTTCGGGAGGTGTCTCATGTGCCCCCCGACATTGCATGGCTTATTATTATTTCAGCTCCCCACTCCCATGGCGAGCTGTGTTACACATATTATGCTAAGGACTAAGCCATCTATAGCTCTGGTAAACAACTACTTTTTAACAGCAAGAGCTTCTTATCTACTGGGTTACTCCTCTGCAAGGCAAGAAACAAGGCCAATGGGAGCTGCCTGTCCCTAATCTCTTGGGTCCATGGAGTGTCTGGAATAAAGAACATGATGACTAGGGTGTGTGAACCACCTCCTCAGTACTTCTATAAAGGCTACATCAAACAGTTATGTGTGGACCTTGGAAGTCTTTTTTTTTTTTGGTATACAAAAGGTTTGCTAGAGTATTTTCTTGTTCAGACTTTTTATGCAAGCATGTCTTGCTTTCCTTGAGTCTCCCCAGCATGCCTGCAGGCATGTATCTATGCGCTGTGTTGTCCAACTATGTTGTCTGCTTAGCTGCTGAGCGCAAGGTCCCTGCTTAGTTTAATTACCTACCTGCCTTTTGCAATTCTAGAAAGCCCTTATTGGCTTGAGGAGGTACTTTGTTAATTGCAGAAGCATAGCCTAGGTAGTAATTTCCCCTCTTTCTCTCTCTGCCACAGCTTGTACAATGAAGAGAGAAATTTGCTCCGCATCCAAGCAAAAGAGGAGGAATCAGGAAGCTCTCCAGGAGAAAGAATCATTCCCTGCTGATATCCCTCTCTTTGGAGAACCTTACAAGGTATCTGCACCATCTCACATTGCACAGCAGGATTTGCAGCAGGGAGTTGTTGCATTTACAGATTGAGTCTTTGGCCTCTTTGCCCTGCCTAATGCGTTTCTGCTGTCTCCAGGCAGTGGCTGTGGGGTCCTTGCCAATTCAAGGAAACCACAGACACTTATCTCTATACCTTCAGCTTTCTTTCAGAAGCAAGCCCCTCTCGCTTGTGGGGATGTAAATAAAAATGTGCAGCTAGAAATTGATCAGCAAGAAGTGAACCTGAGAGGGCCCATAGCACAATGCGAGACCATGTGCTTTGAGTGCAGAAGATCCCAGATTCAATGCCTGGCTTCCCTGCTTTAAAGAACTCATGTTGCAGGGCTTAGCAAGACCTCTGTGTGTTTTACTGGGGAATTGCTACCAGAAAATGCTGGGCTCGCAGTCTCACTCTAGCTGTAAGAGAGCTCCAGCTTCTCAGTGATGTGGTCATTTGAGTATAAAAAGCAGTGGCATGACTTAAAAAGAAAAAACTTGGACAACTGACACTTAGTTTTTTTAAAAATTGTACATAATATTTTATTGTGATTATAGGTATCGGGCTACTTGAATTTAGGTTTCTGTTAACCTGTCTGTGTTGTCCCACACTCTTCAATTCACCTTTTGGTTAGCACCACATAAGCAGAAATGCCTTTCTGTGACCCTGGTTCTCTCATTGCATAGTAGCAAAATCTGCTAAGGAGTGAGGACATCCTCGGTGAACTGAGGGGGCGGGAATAGTTTTAATTTCACCTCTTCCACTTCGCGGTTGTTTTCCTCCCTGTTTCAGAACAACAAAAGCAGATGAGCTATCCAGCCGGATTCAGAAGATGTTTGGCAATTACGAAGAGATGAAGGAGCTTATCGCCATCAAGTCTCAGCAAGATTCATAGGGATCCCCACAAGCGTCATGTCTCTGATCCCTCAGCGCAAGCCAGATCGTCCACTCTTGCCTGAAAAGACCAGCAGCGTGGTACCTGCCTCATTCCAGAATGGTAGCCATCACCGCAAGCCCTTGGGACCCATTGCTTCAGGTGCTCCCTCTGCGGGCAACTCTCTGCACCACCAAAAATTCACTCAAGGATAGAACTGGGCTCACAAAGCGGCGGGCTGCCCAGCAACCAGAGGCGAAGTCAAGAGCAGAGCCGCAAGACTCAAGAAGGCCAGAAACAGCAGAGGCCAGAAGAAGAATGAAAGATGCATTGAAGAAGCCCGCAAGTTGCAGCCCTCCCTTTTGGAACTTTCTCCCTTGCTGTCCTCGTTGTCTTCCCCTGTAGCTCCCTTGTCGCCTCTACATTCCAGCCAACGTGTCAATTCCAGGTCTCTCGGCAGCATCAACAAAAACCACAGGCAGAATAGCTCCCCTTCTCTGGAGCTGGTGGCTGGAACACGTGAGAATGAAACCCAGGACAGCTTGAATGCTCCTGTAGCTGTTGCTGCCCAGCCTTCCTCCCAGACTTTCCCTGCATCGTTGTCATCAAAAACCAGTGCAATACAGCAGAAACCGACTGCCTACGTGAGGCCAATGGATGGTCAAGATCAAGCTCCGGACGAGTCGCCGGAGCTCAAGCCGCTTCCTGAGGAATACCACGAACAGTCCTACGGGAAAATAGCAAACGTGAAAACAAACGTCAAGCCCAACTTGCCCAACTTGCCCAAATTGAAAATGCCTGTTGAAGCGACTGAGGTTAGTGGAATTGCTGCTCTTTGTTTTGGTTTTCCTTTGGTGCAGTAAAGTGATTTTATTCATATTTACTTGTTTTGGTTTAGGGCAATCCATAATAATAATTAGGTTTAACCAATATACAGTGGTACCTCAGGTTACATACGCTTCAGGTTACATACGCTTCAGGTTACAGACTCCGCTAACCCAGAAATAGTGCTTCAGGTTAAGAACTTTGCTTCAGGATAAGAACAGAAATCGGGCTTCGGTGGTGCGGCAGCAGCAGGAGGCCCCATTAGCTAAAGTGGTGCTTCAGGTTAAGAACAGTTTCAGGTTAAGAACGGACCTCCGGAACGAATTAAGTGCTTAACCCGAGGTACCACTGTACAGTACAATCATTAAAGCTGAACTTGCTGCAGAGAAGCCAACTTTTAATAGAATATTGTGGGCTGAGAAGCTACTCAATGCTAGGAATGGACAATTGCCCTCCCATTCACAGCAAAAGTGGAACAAAGTTTTTTTTTTAAAAAAAATGTTCAGGCAAACACTCCAACACCCCTCTGCAGCTGCTACTTCCCCTAGCTCAATGACCCAAAAAATGTCAGGATAGGTGGAGACATCAGCAGCTGGTGCTTCCAAGTTCCTGGCAATAGCATATCTTGCCATCAGGAACTGGGACTGCCAAGTCCCATAATTCCCAGTGAGAATCTGAAGCTTTCTGTGCATCCTTTCTGGCACTGGTTTTGGGATCTGTAGGAAAGGACACTGCTTGAGGAATTGGAATGTTTGCTGCTTCTGCCTCATCTAAAAAGCACTTTGTTAGACCTTCCAGACAGGGGAAAGTTGATGGCAAAGGAAGTTGAGCAGATCTGAGGTGCGTGCCGCCTCTTTCAATTATACCTGCCAGAATGAGAAAGGTGTAGCAGGCCCTGTTCAACAGCTGTTATGCACCTGGTTGTGCAGGCTTGTTAAAAGCAGTTCAGGGATAGACTTTAGACAAAAGCAATATGGATTCAGGTGGTGTTTTGTGTGTGGGTGTTGGCTTTTATTGTCTGTGTTTATTGGAGGAGGGGGCAATTTTGGTAACCAATAATAATTGACAGATACCACAGTCAGGTGGTTGGAAATTATTACGTATTGATTAATCTGGAGTGAAACTGTTAAGAGGAGCCAACAGCCAAAGGGGAAAAACCTGCATGCATATTTATTGCTACAAGGCTAAATATTTCTGTTCTTGGTTTTTATGCGTGTGAGTTTGTTTAGATAACTTTATAAACTTTGATTCAAGAATTAAACCACCCGAAGCAGCAAACATAGCAAATTAAAAGCATTATAATAAAACAAGCTGCCGAAGCAGCATAGAAAAACTACAGAACAAAAACTAAGAACAATGCAGGGCCAGATAAACTCAAAACTGTGGTCAAACAAAAAACTTGCCTGAGCCAAAATATTTTCAGTTGCTGATGGAATGCAAACTACAGAGGGGGGTCTACTAATCTCCTAGACGTGGATGCCATAATTGAGCAGACCTCTGTTGCTTTACTGCCCAGATTATAGCTTACGAATGATGCTGGCGTATGATTTGGAATTTTCCTGCATTTGGGTCCTAAACGCATTCAGGATTTTGTTCCCCCTGTTTTTTGATAGCCACTGTTCTTCCCCAGTGCTTGCCTTCGACATCACTTTCATCAAACGATGATTGACTCACTGAGTTTTCGAGGCTTGTGTGCTGCCACCTGCAGCTGTGAATTTAATTGTTGACGGCATCTGCTTACGGCAACACTGACAAGTTCAGCCTTTCCATTTGAACAGAGGAATCAGCTTTACTACAGAGTCAATTAATCCTCAGTGGATAGCTATGCTATGACTCACTTCATACTCATGCTAAATCTATACACAAGCCTTTCTGCTGTTCCAAATTCTCTTGTCTCTAACTTGCAGCATTCAAGAAGCTATGCAATGGCATTTACCCTTAAAAAAACCAACCACCGGTTAAAATAGATATTTAATTTGCAGTGTATAGGTGTGAACTTGCCCACACCTGCTCATATATGCATGACCCATCACAAGGTTGCTGTTTCATGTGAAGCCCTATATTTAGAACTGGAGAGACTGCCTGCCTCATTTTGGAATTATTCTGACTAGTGAGCTGCTGACCAAAGAGTGGCCACATTTGGGGTCCACAAAACGGCCCAGTTTGCCATGGAGTACTTTGAATTTTGAGACATTGCAAGGAGGAGTGAGGGGGGGGGGGACACTGACTGCAGCTATTACAACCCTTCTTAACTACATTTAGAGGGCTTTTCCTTAATTCTGTTTGGTGTTTGGGAGTTGCTCTTCAAGGTGAAAGGTCACGTGTTCTTCAGACAGGAAACTGCACAGGATTGGCCATTCCTGCTTTTTCACTTCCTGGATTATTTACTTATTTCCCAATCTTTATTTGTGTGTGCTTGCTCTCACAGTAATCCTATGTCAGTAGGATCACTGCTGTTCTTGTATTTCAGATTAGAGATGAAGTGTGTTGAGTTTATCCTTGGCCACCTAATGAGCCCATAGTAGAGCTAGGACAGACTGCCTTCCCGTTTTTGGCTGGGGAGCCTTTTGCCAGAAGTTGTTGTCGGCTAGAGGGCAGAAACCTGTTTCTCTGCAGAAGACCATGTTGCATGCAGGCCAAGCAAAGAGTTTGAAATATATTTTGCTTTTTGAAGAGCGTTTAGTAATCGTGCTTTATTAAGCATCCATGTTGCATTTCTTAGATCCAAAGTGAGCCTATTGCAGTTTTGCATGTAACACAGCTGCGTTGAAGGCTGTGGCTTATCAACATTTAATAATGCTTCCATGGACTTCAAAACCAGCAGCTGGAAGTTTCAGCATGAGGTGGCATTTGTAGCGAACACGGTTGAGTGGCTTTTAAATCATTGTTTTAAATCTTCAAAGAGGGGAATGGGAGCCCTTTTTAAAAGATCAACAACACAACATTTCCCCATTTTGTGAAGCATGTGTTTCATTAACATGCTAACATGTTAATGCTGCATGCTGCCATTCAAGTACACTCCCATAGCGAGTATAATGGCTGCGTTAGGAGGTTACGCTAACCGTAGTTTAGTGTGACATCCTAATGCAGCCATTAAACATTATATAGGCATCATGTAACCATAGCTTAGCATGATGTGAAGCCCTCCTTTCAAGTTGGCTTGCTTCAAAGAAGCCATAGTTTCAACAGTAACAGCAGTTTGTTGGCTCAGATGACACAACTAACTGTGGTTAAGTAAAAGTGGAAGTTAAAAGCTTCCAAACTCCTTATATGGAGCACAAGAGCCTCAAGATGGCTATTGTCATACTAAACTGTGGCTGGACTGGCTCTGTGGTCCCTGACTGGTGAAACAGAATGAAGTGTGCATTCTGGTTTGAGGATAATCATGCTGATAAGCCGATGTTCTTAGAAGCTGAGAGTGTGAGTGCAAATATAGCCCGGATAAAAGTAAAAGAGAGGGAGAAGGAGAGAGATGTTCTTAACCTGCCATATTGCTTTCTGGAGTGCTGTCAGTAATCAGATGTTTTGAGATGAGAGACACACTTTGTGCAGAGTAGTAATCTTTCCGAATACATGCAGCCCTTTAAATTGAGAACATCTGGCAACCCCAGGTAGGAGAAAGAGAACATAAAGAAAGCCTCCTGTTATTTTACTTGGCCTTTATTTTATGGGGCACAGCTTGCCGAAAGTGATAGGTTAGAATTGCTAATGAGAAGCTGTTGATCGTTCTGTGATTTGATGGAATTTGCACAGACATGAAAGGAGAGAGGATAAGCAAGAACCAGCAGGAAAAACTTGAGCAATACTTAGGAGCAGATGAGAGGCGAACAGCTTCCAACAAGGCTGGGATGTAGCACACAATGGAGGGAGTGAGAGGTTTGGCCGGGGAGGGAGCGAAGAACAATGCCCAGAAATACAGCAGCATTTAGTCCTCGAGCTTCTAAAGTGAGACCAGACATTTAGCTGCTTAGTCTGTTTTTCGCTTGCACACCCTTTTGTAATCCATTTTTACAGTGTTGTTGTTGTTTTTTAAAAAAAATATCAGTGGCAGATTTTGTGTGGGGAAAGCCCCACTTTGAAATCAGGATAATATGAGGGCATTTAAATACCCCCTGCCACAAGGTTTTCAGCAGTGCCACTAAGGTATCTGTTTTCCCTTTATTGACAAGGGGTGCAATCCTGCTTGAGCCATGCAAAGAGAGCAGTACACTCTTTCCCTCCTGCACCATGCCAACGTGGTGTTTGGTCGTTGCTGCTCTCTGGTGGGCAACGACATCCGGGCTGGTACATTTGCTGAAAGGTAAGCTTCCCCCTTCTCTCTCTCCCCCCCCCCCAATAACTTAAACTTGAAATATCCAGCGGCCCTCTTCTCCACTGGCTAGCCTTGACACAAACTGGAATTAGCATTGTGCGCACCTGGCCCCTGAGGCAGGAGGAGTGGGTTGCAGGATGCTTGATGTTGAAGGGTCAAAAGAGGGAGAGCCTTACCTTGAGTTGATAAGTTCAGTTGTGATGCAGAAGTCTTGCAGAGCAGCAACCTAGCACTGAGCTGGCATTGGATTGCCAGGGGGGAGAAAAGAGAGAGTGAGAGGGAGAGAGGGAGACCATAGGCAGGTAATGTGAACTGGCTATCTGGTGGATAACTTCCGCTGTATTTTCTGGGAGACGGGAAAGAAAGGCTAGTTGTAAGGTTTAGGTTTTCCTCTTTTTTAAACCGTGCTGTGTGTTCTTAGCATCTTTCTGTGCTGCTCTGAGGTCTTCTGTCCAAAAAAAACTGCCTATAAACTAATATTTTAATGCGCGCGCGCACACACACACACACACACAGACACCAAGTGGAGGTGCTTGCAGGCTTGCATCCAAATAAATTTGCCAGAACATGTGGAACTGATGAACTATGTTGGTATCTACTGGTTGACTTGGGCTTGGAGGTTTCTGCCAGCTCTCCCAACCTGCTCTGCTGTTCCTCTTAATCTTTTTCATCTGACAGATGGGAGACCACGGTGCAGTGTTGCACTGCCGCAGAATCAAATGCTTT